AGTAATTGGTTTGTACCTAGGCAACAAGTTGATCATTATTTTGACAACTGTTTGACAACTTGGTTTTAATTACTTACCAATATTATTTTTCTAGAATATGTCTTTATTTTTTTGGAGTTCTTCTGATTTTGAAGACTCGGACTTTGGCCCTAGTATAATAAATATTTTTATATGACGGTAGTGTTATTTTATTTTAATTTTTTTATTAACTAATTAATCTATCTCCCGTAAGGTTTGAGTACGTACAAGTACCTAAGCAAGGGGTTTAAGGTACTTTACGTATTTAGGTTCTTTCGCATGAAAAAGCCGTGAAGTGTAATCGCGTTTAGAATGGAATAGAACAGAAATACGTTTATTCAGAAACAACACACAAACGACAAATAAACAAACGTTTCTGTTTCAGTTTGTGGATTTCCGAATATCCAAAGCCAAAAAAGGTCTAGTGTTGATTTTGTTTAGATGTTTTCTGGCTGGGGTATTTCACCTGCCATCAAGTAAAACCATGCTTATATGTCCTCCTCAATCATAAAAACTTCTACGTCAGATTTGCATAGAATCAATGACTCGTTTCAATTCAAAGTACACGAATTTCTCCATAATTATAATTCCAACTGCCTACCGTTTTACTTAGATATTCTTGCATTGTCAGCTTGACCGTGGGAAGTCGTAGTTCCTACTTTTACATGGTATGAGTGGATATCTATGTCATGCTAGGTCACGTCATTTTTTTAAATGCCTTCGGAGTTTTGTAAAACTAGGCGAATATAATGAACTGTTAAAATTGTAGTTAACGAGAAGTTGTAAGGTGGAAGGGGTAGGAAGCTTTATATTTGTTTTTAAAAGAAAATGCATCCGTCATATGGTTACTTACTCTAGCATCGTTATCATCTTCGCAATCTTTTCTCGTTCTTATCACCTTATTGAGCATACTTCACAGGTATGCTCAATTCACCAAATCGCTACTAGAGTCCCGATGCACTTACCAGATGGTAAGTGCATCGGGAAAAATACCATCGCAACGCCGATGGTGGCCCAGATGCCAAGTACCTACCACCTAAGTTGGACCACCCGACCGACGACAATTTAACGAAATCCGTAGAGACTCACCACGAGATCCGCCGTCGTGCCGTCGTACTCTTAGTCGACATCCGTCTAGCGTTTAAAGCTCACATCCGAATTGCAGTGGTCCAAGCCAAGAGTGAAGCCCCTCTTGGGTCTCTAACCGCAAATACGGATAGTTTAAGACACTGCTCTAGCCAAACGTCTTGTTAGTTAAAATGGCTCTCTTGCTACTATTTACAAACCTGTTTTTTGAAGAAATAAGTTTGTCATTATCATTGTTTGTATAGCAATGGGGGCAAGCCTGAGATTCGTTTGATTATATATACCTCACCTGCATACTTCGAAACGAGATGTCGTCCTAGTTAAGTTATGTAAATGTAGAAAATTTATTTCTGGGTGTCATAATCTTCCTTAGGTTGGTGTAAACTATCTTCTCTCCACTTGACACACAATGTGCTGTGTTTGTTTGTCCGCTCAGTGCCCAAAATATCGCAAATAGAAAGTAGAGCGAATGAACGCGTCGCGGAAACGCGATTTGTCACCGCATTACCGCGCAGCCGAGGAACATGATATAATTAGCGGCGAGATGCGTTAAGGGGTCAATGACACCGTGTAAAATTGTAACAGGCGACCACCCTACTCTGACCTCCCGTAACGCGACACGCTCTTAGAAGAGCGGAGGCCGTGACGGATCAAGTTCTATTGGTCTTCTCGTTTACACGCGGTTTCGATTCTATCGGTCTTTTGTTTGAGCGTTCTCACACGTTTTTTTAACGCGCGACAGAGAAGTATAGACTATGACGTGTTGCCGTCTTCGTCGTATTTAAGTTACTTGTTTTAATTGAAATCATACAAAGACATTTTAAATTGAATTGAATATAAACTATTTTTCGTCGTGATCGCCTCTGTAGCTAAATGGTTAAACGTGTTGTCTAGCGTTGCGTTAAGCGCGAGAGTTTTTGGTTCTAATCCTGGGGGAGCAATAGATGTTTTCTTGGGCAGGGCACAGATCTAATCTAGTTTTGGCCAGTAAATCGAACAGATCAGTGAACAACACAGAAATTTGTTCGGCCCCAAGCCCCACGAGATTTCAATTTTACTTTACGTCGTTAAGCGGTCTACATGTCGTCACTGTAGGTATATAGGTCAAGAACTGTTGAGGATTTTATGGTCCATTGCAACATAATGCATTAAATAAATATTACGTTCATATGTTGTATTGAAATTTTTTCGCGTTATCAGTATTAGGTGACTCTCCCAGGGCTCAAAGTACCGTAGAGGACAGGCGGTGTGGTTAGTGGTTCTGGTTGGCTATACGATTTACCACACTCCCCACGTCACTAGGGCCCCATGTGGCCCTGCTTGAGACATTCACACCATCACCTTTACAATTCTTAAAGAGCTGTCACTACTAATAGAGAAGAAATAGTATAGAAAAAACGATTAAGCAGTGTCGGACAATTTTTGATAAGCGCAAGATTTGTGTTTATTTCTACAGATTTCTTTTATTTTTCAACTGTGCATCACACACTTATAATGTTTAGTGTGGTAGCTGTCTTTTTGCAAGAGTGCTAAGCGCATCAGCAATGAGTTCGCTCGTTACATTTCAGTTCGTTCCACTTTCGTTGGGTCATGGAGCGTAACCATAGCGATATTTATTCGATAATCGGTTGTGGGCTCGCAGTTTGGTGCTTTGCTAAATTTATTTTTACATTGATAACGACATCTGAACTACTGTCTATAGTTTACGCAATTAGTATACATTTAAATACAATTTAATGGTTAAAACGCGAAATATATTAATATATTTCGTGTTTTAAACCGTTAAAAGGTGTTTTATTTAAATAATAGTACAGTTGTAGTATAGAATAGGATATTTTTATTTCGCTATAGTGGTGGGGTTCTCTATAACCACGGCTGCTGCAAAGCATCCGAAACGTCGAGCCGTAGTTAAAATAATTTTAAAATAGCTTCAACTAATATAATTCGCGTTTTAAACCGTTGAAGTGTTTATTTAAACATCTAAACTGCCTAAAATCCATCGCTGGTCCTGGACTTGAAGATATACCCATGTGTAATCACGTCACAGATATTTAAAGAATCCATCCCTGCAATCCAAAGACAGTTACGTGTCCATCAAACCGGCGGAGCTCGCGTTATTTAGAGCATCGGAGGGATTCTGTTGATTAACTGTTTACATCTCGTAATAGATCCCTTTGTGGGCAGCTGGTCTTCTATCTCGGTGGCGAGTTGTCGGAGGTCGGTGACCTTGTCCTGGTTATGTACAGGCTTCCCGTGTCTGTCCGGTCATATATTTAACATTTCGGATATCTCTTAATTTAAGAAGATTCAGATGTCTGATTTTAGCTATTGCGATGAGATTTTCGAGAATTTTGATGTATTAACTGCTGTTCTCGGATTAAGATTGCTAAATATGCAGGCTTTTTTATTTATTTAGCTAGCGCATTCAAAATTTTATCAAAAACTTTAGAAGTTTAATCTGTGGAAAGTTTGTAAGATTTATATTATTACATAAAACTTTCAATACATTAAGACGAAAATTATCAGTCAACTAATGTTTAAATGCGACTCAAGGTTTCGAATACTTTGCTGTTGTCTTTTATATTATTGCTTAAACTACATTTCATAATATAAAAAAAATTTGTTTCTTAAGACGATACTGTGAGCAAACGCATAGTTCTTTTGTAAAAAAAAATATGTATGTATGGATGATAGTATGAATCGCAACATGTCTCCAACAGAGTTTCAATACTGTCTATAGTTTACGCGAGTAGTACACATTTAAATAAAACACTTTAACGGTTTAAAACGCGATATATTAGTTAAACTTATTTGAAAATGATTTTTAACTTCGGCCCGATTTTACGGATTCTTTGCAGCAGCCGCGGTCACGGGGAGACGGTGAAAGTGTTTTATATAAAAAAAAGAGTTATAGTAATAATTAATAAATAAATTCTTTATTAAAATTGAATTGATAAATAAAACAGTGCCTTTATAATATTATTTGATCTAACCACCTTAGTTTATATAGTTTCCACCTGTAATAATTGAGTCTAGATTCAACCGAGCACATTGCGGTTATTTAATGCGTCTAGCCAACCCCCCTTTTGTAGACACAGACACCTATTCCGGACCTATAATTTCCCTACCATCTTTTAATAAGGATATATGTTCTTTTATTATAGGACCTGTGCAAACATTTATTTAACGTTTTACAGTGCCCAAGTGTTGTATTGATCTTGTTTCACTTTATTCAGGCTTGATGAAGTAACCTTTTACAGGATAATTCAGAGTCTATGTTACAGTATGCTAAGTTCAATACATACATGTATTACCTACGCCTTATTTGTGTAAAAAATACTCTTACATAGTACAGAAGAAGAATATTGCAAGCTTTAATAAAAACAAACAAAGTAATATATACAAGGAAATGTGTAATTCACGCGAGTAATACTTATAAAACTACAATTATTACTTTAAATTTAAAATAAGAGAAACGCAAATAAAAATAAAATTTAATTTAAAAAATATAAATATTTTGCTTCAATAAACATTTGCAGCAAGTGCAGTTAGATATAAATAATTAGAACTAAAATGATTTATATTAAATTTCTTAAAATTAAACATTATATTTTTTACAATTGATTTCAAATGAAACGCACACAAACTCATCCTCATGCTGCATTTAATATTTAGCTATAGTTATTGCTTAACCACCTTTTTATATTAAAAAAAAGCTTTTTCTTAAATAATGTGTATGGTTTACGCGAGTAGTACACATTTAAATAAAACACTAACGGTTTAACTAATATATTGCGTTTTAAACCGTTAAACTGTTTTATTTAAAAAGCCTTTTCTTATTTAAAAGTGCACTCCGTGTTATATATTTTTCTAATAAAACATTTAACACACTCCAGGTCGGATACACTCCGCAGTCGTCTCCGGTGTCAACTTGGAGGCGCGCTCGGTGACGGTGGAATGGTACGAAAGGGGGGAGACCAAGGGCAAGGAAGTGGAGATAGATGCCATCCTTGCCCTGAATCCGGAGCTCTCCGTCGGCCCCAGGAATCCGCCACACCTGCAACCGATGCCTAACAAATTAGCCCGGGTAAGTTCCCTCTAATGTCAAGATCACACAACAGAACGTGTCTAATATAGTATTAGAAAGATATAAATTACATTTCATCGACTAAATTAAACTATATCAAAAATATGTACTTAAGTATAAAATGGCTAATAAAATTTGTTTTCATTCTTATCTCGTTATCATAATTTCTTAATAAAAAAAAAATAAGTACCACATGTATGTTTCAGTGTTCTTTAGATTAATATGTTTAAGTTTTTTCCTAATTAAAAATAAAATAACGATAACGGCTGTCCACTCTAAATTTAGCCGAGTTTTAGGAAGTCGAAAAAGAGAATTCTCGAATTGGAATTACATTGAAAATTTTGTAATAACTCAGTGATTAACATTTGTCCCGGGTTTTGGGTATTAGAATAATTTGCGTCGACTTTAATCATATTATTATTGTCACATACGCTGCGTTTTAAGCTTTTTCTCAAGTCATCGTAAATCCATAAACACTAGTAGTAGATTTTTCCAAGTCTGGTATAGCAGGCTAATTGACTCCCATACATTCTGCTTTTCTAAAACACTAACAAATTGTTCAGTTTGTTTCTGGATCGATAATGTCACGTTTTCTCTATTAGTTCAAAAAAATTCAAACGACTTCATGCTTCCTCAATATTGAAACATTATTCCAAAAGAGTGTCAACTAGGCCTATTCACTACACCTACTGTGAGTTTACAGTGCTGACTTGCAGTTTTCTTTTAATTTGTTCCGATTTTGTTAATGGCTTTATCGATTAGCGGTGTCCTAGTACCAACCCGCGATCACCCTGATTGTTTGGGTATCGTAGCACGTTGCCATTACACGCCACGTAGCCGGCAAACACGAGTCCCCTTTGGGCTGTCACATCTAGAATCAGCATTGATATCATATAGATAAACATGGCTCTTCCATTAGTTTTTAAGACTCAGTGATTGTGAGTGCGGTTCTCAGTGTAAATGACTATGTAGAGATGTTCCCGTTCATCATAAGTTGGCAGGTGATAAATTCACGTAGCGTCGTCGCTTTGCGAATATTTCGCGCCGTTGCCTAGGCAACCACGCTAGACACTAAATCACGCTTTTCATGACCAAGAGAGAAAACAATCGATATATTAGTATATTATATTTTAAAGGGCTTTTTCACTCGGCTCGTAGGACTCATTTCGAATGACCTGCTTTTATTGTATATTTTTTTAGTATGTTATGTAGTTGCGCAGGATATATTACATGAACGTACATATAATAATTAAAGTAAGCAGTATCTATAAAGATAGCGGAGTAATTAGACTATCGCACCCATCTGACAATAACTAATGGTCAGATGACCTTCGCATATGGATGCCGTTCCAATCGATTTTCCGTTTACCACCCCCATACACACTTCAGTTTCACTTTTACTTAGAGATTGAGCACACTCGCTCGTCTACTCACATGGAGTGGGACTCATCCGACATGGATTGTTTAGTAAGTTGCACTGTTTTTTGATGCGTGTTTGGTAAGGACCCATCCGGCTCTTCCTCGGATGACGGTGGCTTCCTGCGCGACGCCGGCGACTGCGAAGGCCAGGGGGAGCCCGGACACACGCTGCCCGTGCGCAACTCGAGATCGGTACATCAAAATGCCTAGCATGAGTTTGACAGCTTCGACAACGGTGAAAATAATCGTATCTTAATTCAGTGCTTATTTGTGCCTGTGTAGGTGTGGTGATATTTAAAGTATTTTTTTAGTATGCGACTGCGACGCTGTAACGCTGCCGATGCGTTAAATACCACAGTTTTTACCTTAACTCAAGCTAATAAGATTAGTATATCTGTTCCATAGAATATCGTTAAAATGTTTTCTATAGCAAACGATTATTTTTAACGTTTCCGATAGCTTTAAAGTCTCATGCTAAGGCTCCAGCACTCATTAGCACGTTGGTTGTTGCACGCAGTGGACGTGCTGTCCGTTGCACTTATGTTTCTTTTAAGCGACACACCACCTTTTTTGTTTTCTTGCTTCGTTTGTGCACAGAAGTCGCTTTTAGTGTATATGTCTTTCGCTCTGTAAACAAGTGTTGTTAGTTTACGATGCGAAACTCATGTTTTTGTTGCTGAGTTTGTAGTTCTGTACATACATGAATTATAAAGGCACATTTAAATTACTTATAACATTGATATGGCGTAAACCAACTTGTTAAGTGCTAACACTTTACAATATTCAATAATATCTGTAATTTTATGTACACAAAGTAATTTAAAAACTAAATGAAGTACCACAGGGTATTAGAATAAAATACAGTTTATAAGTAAATGAACTGAAAATTTTATTAATACTAATATTGAGAAGCAACATAACTCAGGTATCATAAACAGACGTCATATCTACTAGTCATAAGGATCATCGTATTGAAAGAAACTGCATTACGAATTGACATCATAACAAAAAAAAACTAATAATTTAAACAATCATTTATAAAAGTAGTATCATCAAATAAACATTGTGTCAGGGTGAACCATTAATCGGAACTGGCTATGTTAATACATCCATGTTTGGCTACCGCGAGCTGTCTCTACTTTTGGACTTTATTGTAATGTTAATAAGAGCTATATTGCCAAGTATTGACCAAATGAGTCACATGCCCATTTCGCGATGGCTATTCAAGTGTATTGCCATACCAGTTATTGGAGGTAATTGGCTTGCTTCCTACTTTTTGTATCTATTTCAATGGGCCAATGTGCAATGTCCTTGGAGTTTGATTATAAAAAAAATATTCTTTATATTACAACAATTTTTCATATGGAAACTGATTGGTGTATCCGATTTGATAGGTATTATTTTGTCAAAATATGAAAAAAATTGTAAAAATACCATTTTTTTCATATTTTGACCGTGACCAAACCGTTATATACTTTGCCAAAGTGTATAACGGTTTTTTTGATGTTATGATACTAATGAGATTTGATAAATTTAAGACAGTCTTATTCTTAAGAGCTTTTAAAATATAAAAAAGGTTATTACTGACTAAAGAAGTAGATATATAACATATTAAATAAGCACTTCGCGTGATAAAGTGAAGTGCTGCTTTTCACAACATTTACAAAAGTCTGATACAAAAAATAGTATTAAAAGGATGTGGTTGAAAAAATAAATAAATAAATACTTTAGCTAAGCAAAAATACTGACCAATATACAATAATAGATATCTTAATATTATAAGTATATTTATTTATCAAACTTAAAATTATATACATCTATACTTATATATAAAGCTGCAGAGTTTGTTTGTTTGTTTGAACGCGCTAATCTCAGGATGTGAGGTGAGAGTGTTGCGGCAAAGTAGCACTTACCATTGATTGGCTGCTTTATATGCGCCCTTACATAAATTAATAAACAGCCTAAATATATAAAAATTCTACCCCAAGTCACTGTTCCACGCGGGCGAAGTCGCGGGTACAGCTAGTTACATATATTAATAGATTCCATAGCACTAAAGATAACAAATCTGTAGGGTCATTCAAAATTAACAGTAAAACTGGTGTACTTAAGTGTGAAATTAAATAAATAAAAAATTATCAAAATAAAATTGCATATATTATGTCTACAAAAAACAGCAAGTACTCAATTGCTAAAATTAACGTGTCTACTAAAATGTAAGAAGTATCATTTTGCAGCGCCACCTCTAGTTTCCTTGTTTCAATGAAATGACAATTTGTACTTACATAATTTAGTTACGATTGTGGGTAGGTGAGAATATTGTAACAAAACTTTATTTGCCATAATGTGTTCTCCTTTCTACGAGTTTTGTTGTTTTTACAGTTAAGTTACAGTGTTTTATAGTGCATGTATCTTTCATTTATCACAAAAGTTTCGTAGTGTAATAAAATATATAAAAGACTGTACGGTAGGTGCGTACAGTAAGTACAGTATCAGTTGTAATATGTTAATTGAATTAATGCTTTTCGTAAATTTCTTAAAACCTAAATGTATTCCAGACATGATCGTTAAAACCTTTTTTGTCTAGAGATAATTGAGTATCGTCTAATTACGTCTTGTACTTGTTCACTTTGATGGAAATAAATGGTCTGGTGCATCCTTTAGACTTATATAATACTACCAAAGTCATTATGTCGAAGTAATTCTTCTATAATTCAAATATGCATTATCATTCGTAAATTTTTTTTTTTTTATTTAAAAATGTTTGTTCGAAGTTTTCATGTCATTGGCACAGTTTTACGAGGGGAATGTAGAACAAAATGTACATCTATAACTTGTAATTTCACTAAGGAAATGTGCAATGTAAGCGCATAAGGAAATTGCTGAGCCACCCCCGGTGCCCCAGTTGTTGATTCATTATCCGTAGTGATGCTATTATGCGATGCGTGCCGACGCTTTAGCGCTTTAAATGTTTATTTCTATCCAACTGAAAAAATACAATTTAAATAAAACACTTTAAAACGCGAACTTAATTTTGATTACGATCCACGTGGTCACGGGGTGATAAATTCCGTTTAGAACCACTGAAACTGTTTTAAATTTGTGTTCTTCTCGCAGAAATTGAAGACAATACAGAATATCCGTAGATTTTTAAAGAAGAGTAATTTTATAGGATGTGACATAAGCTAAAGAAGGGTGAATAAGCGGTAAAAATTATTCCAAAACAAAACAGTTATTGTTTATAAAGGCTCACTTAATATATGTATAAAGACACTGACTGTTAAAATGTACTCATAACATTTTAAGGCTAATAACCCAAGCAAAGGAAACCGAAGAAAAAATGCTCGGAACGCTAACCGAAGTTATCACACAATGTTGACACAAATTTAAGGTCTATTTCTCATAAGGCTTAAGTGTCACTTCCATCTAAGTCCTAATTAATATTATCACGAGATGGAACAGCGCATAAATTAATAGATAGCTAACAAAAACTACATATCGAAAAGTGGTATAGAAATTTTCCAATAAAAAGGCCCCTATTTCGACTATGGAAAGTCGCCCTTGTTAACGCTTAATTGCGTTTTCATATGCGGGAACAAAAGTAGTTTTATATCTCCTATGTCATTTATAAAATTTACGACTCGTAGTTTAGCTGTGTCTAGTTGAGATTTTTACGCGCTCATTTGTACATAGACCCTTCGTCTCCCAAGCTTCTTTTGCATATAATTTTGCTTCTAAAATGTCTATTTGAGATACAATCTTAATATCAATCTCTGTTTCTAGGATATGACGCGCCAATCGATCCCGGTGGCCACAAAGGGTAAGTCTTTTTAAAATATATTTTCTGGTTACATTCGAAAGTGCTGTAACTGTATCGACCTTTGTATAGTAAACTAGCTGAACCGGCAAACGTTGTTTTGCGGAGAGGAAAGATGATTAAATAACTAAAATGGCTAAAAAAACCTAAAAATAGGTTGATCGTAGAAGGGAGGGAAATTGAGGATTGTATGCTATTTTTGTATGTCTTTGACTACCCCTGACATCTAGGGGGATAAAATAGATGTTGGTCGATTCTCATAGATACCGGAAAAGCACAAAAAAAATTCATCAAAATCGGTCAAGCCGTTTCGGAGGAGCATGGCCACGAAAACGGTGACACGAGAATTGTATATATTTATAAGGCAATTAAAAACGTATACCCGTCATTATTTCTATTTGCGTTCATTTCAAAATGTGTATTCACACATGCAATAACAAAACAGATTTTTAGATAAGGTTATGTATACTTGATTTTTATTCGTACAGTTCTTTATGTGGCGTCAGACTAACTGTAAAGTTGAATGTAATCATCTATGAGTCACTCTCATAAGGTATATACATATAAGACATTGGGCTTCGCTAAAATCCTAACGGTTTTATCCGAAATGACTATCGCTTATAAGGCTGTTTTAACATTTATTTGAGCACCGTGACTCGTCTGTTTTCTTTGTATGCTGTCCTACTTCTTTTTTTCGTAATTACGCTTACAATTTTATTTGTTTGGTGGTTCAATTCGGTTTTAATTGATGACGTAGCAGGATAATAGTTTAATTTGTCTTTTAGATGAATGAATGAAAGTGGCAGATTTTTTTATGATAGCGGAGGACAGACGGCAAGAGATTCACTTGTAGAAGGGTTTAATACCCCAGAAATGCCAACAATATGCGCTATCGACGTAAAAATCAGAGTTAAGTCTTTTAATCGTCACAATATGGAGAGAAGAATATTGAGTGATTGGGTTTTTTATGATTTTATGATTAGGTGATTTAGTTTCTAGTGGCTTTAGTTCTTCTGGTTACGGTCCATTTTTTTACAAATACAACCATAATTAAGAGATGTGGGATGACGTTTTTTGATTGTTTTGATTATTATTATGTATTACTTACTACATAGTATAAAATAAAGTCGCGTTTTGAGCGGTTTTTTTTAAATAGATGAAGTGATTTAAGAGAAGTGTATATGCAACGTTCACAGTTTTTCTGTAGTGTATCTAGCATCAACAATTTATCCGAGCGAAGCCGGGCCGGGCTAATTATAATATAATTATTTTAAAAACTTTACGGTTTAAAACCATTTTTTTTTATTAATATTATTTTCATGGACCTAATTGCAGCTTGTAAACTATTGAAAAAAAAAATCGTATACTTTTGAAACAACTTACAAAATCAGGGCACTAAGGTATCGGTATTCTCCTGTATATCCAATTGCAATCACGCGATGATATACCATCTCTATCTTTTATTAGTATAGTAAGAGATCCCTGTAGATCTCTGAGAAGTGTCAAACTTGTGTTAGTACAATGCGAACATTATATATCCTTAGTAAAACCGGGAAATAAAGTTTTCTTATAATTTCACCAGAGTTTTATAAAGCAAATATGTATGTTTAAGTAGTAGCCTTTAAACGATTTTTCTTAAATTACGTATACCCTCCGTTTTTATTATTTATTAAATAAATGATAAAACTTCATGTCACATCAAACATGACGATAAATCTTTTACTAATATCAATTTTTATTTTCTAAAGGTTCGAGGAGAGGTTTATCTAAATAATGTTACTGTCAAATGCATTAAAAGTCCAAACACGTCATTTGTTTGAATCTTATGGTGGACAATTTACTGTATCATTGTTATCTTCACGTTATTTTAGTATCAAAAAATAGATATCATTAAATAGGCAGTTATATAAATTCCTAATTTGAGAAAATACATTTCTATACAATGCATGCCGTGTTTTGTATTTACTATTGTCATACTATTGTCTGACTTGAGATAGTTCGCATAGTTTCGTCTCACGCGTGCTAATTGATTTCGTTGCGTAACTATTAAGTAATTTGGCAACGTTAGATTGGCCCCAATGCGCGTCCCAGTTTGCGAATCTGTATCCCGTGTAAGCCGTGCTGGAATGTTTAGCTATGATTCGTTTCCGTATGCTATTTTCTTATTTATATCTTGTATACTAATTGGGATTGTTCAAGCTCAAATTTGTTTTTGCAAACCTCCGCGTCATCTTTATAAATTTAACCTGTTACCCATGGCGGTCGGGCACGTTCCGTCCTTCTAGTATGTTAATCTTAAAAGATTGACATACTTTCGCAGACATATTTTGTGGTAATTTAAGTTATTCTTTTTTTTTCCAATTAGAATAAATAGTTCCTGAGATTACCGCGTTCAAACAAACAAACAAACTCTTCAGCTTTATATTGGTATAGGTTCTATCTGATGTGATGTCCGCACTTTTCCTTTTCACTGTAGTTACTAGAACAAGAAGTAGCAATGAAGTCGCTGTTTATTGCCAATTCTTCAATTCATGATCTAAGAGGTTTTAGGGAAACAAAGGTAGGTCCTATCTACGTTTCCGTTACGTACAACTCGATGTTAGTGTCCACTTTTGGGTAATGAATTAAAATGTCTTACATTCAAAGTGCATTACTTTTGGTACTTAAAAAACCATCAGCTATACTGGACAAAAATCTGTCTGGACTAGCTAATGAATGGTTCTTCTGGAAGAAGTTAATTCTTTATCATTGAGAGAAAAACCGAGTCGTATGGCGGCGCGTATGCAATAGTGAAAATTCCAATAAATACGGATAAGAAGGCTATGCAAATGCGCTACGTATCGTGTGTCAAAAAAGTTGATTTCCTATCAGCTTTGTGTCCGTTGCCTCATATCCTGCCGGGGTCACGGTCAGCCGGTGCTAATATGCAATCTTGACATTGTGTTTAAGTGAAGGCCGTATTCGTTTCTGATAAGTTTTTTCTTTGTAAATCCAATATTTTTTATAATGAAAACAGTCACATCATGGCACCCGTATTTGTCGATTCTGTTTTTTATATTATGTACCAGCTGACTTAAACCAATACGATAAGTATTTTTCAGCTTCGAATTAGTGGTTCCTAAGATTAGTGCACTTAAACTCTTCAGCTTTATAACGTTGGAGCTAAAGAGCAATGTTCTAGCACCAAACACGTTTAAGTTTTAAGCTTTGCGTAAATGGTTGCTAAGCAACATTTCTTGAGTTATATCAATCGTTTTGGTGGTACGCTGGTTCTTACCGATTTCTTTATATATTATTATAAGAAAGTAAATATGGTAGTGGTGTTATCGAAGTAACTTTTAGACCTTATTCATGAGATATACAACCAGCAAATTCTTTAGAACAACAACTATTATCTTGTCATCAAATCATAGTTATGTCTTATATCTCTCAGTTTGGACTGTGCCTTTGTTTTATTTTGGTGTTTAGCAGTATCGCGAATCACCGCTACTATTTTGGAAGTATGACTGTCACAGCGCTTGTGGTTATTATTCATTGTTCCTAATAAGACTTGTTTCTCGTCATTGTGTTTAACGACTAAACATACTAACTTGATTTGATATTTAGCGCCATCTCTTGTTTAATTGATGTAGCTCAAAATCTATTGACAAAATGAGATCAGTGATTTTCTTACCATCGATAACAATGTTTTGCTTCAATATTTTATATTTTTTCAGGGATACGATGGATATTTGTTAACTGCTAATCACTGGGGACTTTATAAGTCTTTATATGACATGAAATAGTGATGTTTGGTTAATAATTAACACGTCAGTGTCATATTATCCACGCGATGTTGAAGTACGTTGAACTTTTTTAATGTAGCGTTATTACAGGATTTCGATTTTATGCAAGGATGTATTTATTATATATTATATTAAATTTTTGTTGCACAACACACACATAGTTATATCAGAATCTAATACTGTCTATAGTTAACGCGAGTAGTACATTAAACACATTACACAAATAAAACACTTTAAACGGTTTAAAACGCGATATATTAGTTTAACTTATTTGAAAATGATTTTTAGAAATATCAGAATCAATTAAAAATAAGATTTTTTACGTTCCAATATACTAAAGAAAATAAAGTTTAAGTAAATGCAGTATGCATCAGTTATTATGGATTGACAGAATTTTAGTTACAACTTGTTTCGTGTAGTGATAAGTTATTATTTTCCCACCCATAAATTTAGCTATATCACGTGATAAAAAGCGAATAGCCTATATATAATAAAATAGATATTGTCGCTGTATGTAGGGAACACTTGTTGTACTGTATTTATGAAGTATTTATAAAAAGTTACACGTACCTACTACGTAAGATAGAAGACTAAGTTATCATAAATTCCTTTCAGTCTATTTTCAAAGAGCTCTAACAAAAACTTCGTCACTATCGCAGCTGACCTTTCTTAAGCTATTCCTGTCATATCGCAAACGGATGCCAAGTCTTCCTGGGGTGATGCGCATCCTTAATACCATAATGGGGTAAAATGGGGTGTCTGGGGCGGTCAACAGAGGCTCGCTATAAGTGTAGGCTGTTGGACCGAACGCGGGCAGTACGCGAGCGGCCGCGTGCTATACACGTCTGGCGCCTTACAAATGGCTTGATATCCTACCTGCCTGGGTACTAGAGGTGGCTATGTGCGAAATTCAATGTAGTGTAGTTACAATTTTTTTTAATGTAATCTTTCATACATAGTTATCGGAATATCATTAGGGTTTTTGATGGATGTCCAGTTCTAGTTACCATAGCAGGAAACAATACCGTGACCACGGATTATTGAAGTTTCAAAAATGCCCGCGCTCCACAAAAAATGTCCACTGTTACAGCGACGAGCAGTGCTAGGCTGTAAGTTTATATGGCGATTATTCTCTAATCAGATCGAACTTCAGCTTTATCGTGTATTCCAGCTTTATTAACAGGTAATAGGGTGCATTTTGGCGCAAGGTGTGTTCCA